CGCGGGGAGGTAGAAGCTTGTCACCGTGGTCGTTCCGGGACCCTGAGGTGCTGCACCATCCCACAAAACTACACATATATGGACAGATGTGCACCCGTATACATACTGTATAAGTGTGTGTGGGTGCATACGGATATACATATACTGTGTCTGAACATTTACGTATGGACATCTGTGAAGGCACCTGCAGTTCTAAGAGCTCTCGGGGAGCTGTTTGGTTTTTAACAGCCTGGCTCTCATCTGGGAATGGAAGTTAACATAAAATGAGGACGTACCTTTGGAGTGATAATACCACTGTGAAGATTAAAACGCGCCCTCCTTGGAGCCGTAGTTTCTCACCCATGGCTTATTTAGCTCTTCCTCCAACAGGAGGCACTGACTGGTCCTTCGGGGTTGCAGGCATAAGGTCTGCTAGAAAATGCAAGGAAAAGGTTAGATTAACTGTGGAGTTTTTCTTGCTGTGTGACTTTTATTTAACGAAGGGGATTACTGCTGTTGTGCAAATGGATAATACTAATATGTTGCTCATAACAGGTCTTCTCATCAGATGTAAGAAAAAAAATGGTAGTTTTCACTCATTCATTTCCTTGTAGGTAACAAATGTTTCTGTTGTCTGTAATGCTAAGGTCTATGAAACCAGTCCCTGTTATATGAGATGACAAGAAAGAAAAGTCCAAAATACAACATGAGAGAACTCCCAATGATAGATCTTAACCTGGCATCCTTTTGAGATTGTCAGTAATAAAGCCAAGGGCCTAGTGAGTCCCTTCTGAGATACAGTCCTGCGGACTTGGACTGATGCATGTGTGTAAGACTGGACTAAGGACTCTCATGTGAATGTATTTTTTTTCTTTCCTAAGGTTACATGTCCTGGTGTGTTTCTGCCTGAGAAACATGATGTTTTTCTCAGTGAGTGCGTCTTGGGTCAACACAAAGAGACAGAAAGCCTTCGTCCTGTTTTCCTTGTTTCATGAGCAGATGTGCTTTGAGAAGGTGACTTTCACTTGTTAGATGCCTTGGGCTAGAAGGTCTAATGTCTCAAGCCTTGTACAAGCTGTAGTTCATGCATAGTCTTATTTTTCTTTACAACTGATAGGTTATTCTTGTTTCACATGTATTTCAACATAATAAGATGAAGTATTAGGCCCATTCCTGGAATGGAATAGATTTTAACATTTCTTTAAGATTTTATGGCCTGGAGCTTTGACAGCAGTGGTTATGAGAGGTCATCTCTTACGTGGACAGTTCTTACCTAATCTCAGTAATGGCGACAGTGTATATGAGGGTAATTGAATTTATTCTGTTTCAGATATGATTGTTCTGGAGGCAATATGATACCTCAGTTCTAATATGGCTATCATCTATTCAAGATTTTTGTCATTACAGCAGGTGTGGTGTAAATGAAGATCCAAATAAACGGTAGCCAAATGATTTTGCTGCCATTTTACATGCCATACTAACACCTGGAACTAATGAGAACAGGAGTCTTCACTGTGTTCCAGTGAAGTTACTCTACTGTATGCTCATCGGTTATGGTTCTGGTGAATGGTATTTTGTGTTGGAAAACTGTTTTTTAAAAATGGTGTAAGACAGAATGGCTATGTCTATTGACAAGCAAAACCATGCTGAAGCCATTGCAAAACAGGAATAGACAAAGTTTAGAGGAACAGTGTCTTTCTTATCTATTTCTTTCAGACTCTTCTCTATTCTTTTTCAAACCACTCTCTACCTGTCTGTTTCTCTAAAATTCTTTTGCATCTGGCTCACAAGAGGTCTTTCCTTGGGGGACGTGATTACTTTCCCTTTCCCCCTGCAGTTATTATTGACACACGTGAAATGCTACATGGTTAATACCTCTGAAAGCTACAAAGTATAATTTTCATTAACTCCTTCACTCTGTCTCAAGGCGAACACAGCTCTGAACACATGACTCTTCACTCTCGCTGCAATAAAAGCCCACAGCCACGTTCTGACCAGAAGTGGGTAATATAACCCACTTCTGTAGAAGAGTAGTTTCTCGTACACTTACCTAGTCGTAAGAGGAGCATCGAAGTAATTATCATGAAGTAGATGTTGTTAGATAAGTTCATCTTTTCTCTTACCTCACAGTAATGTGTTTTTGTGCCTGTGACCTTCATTAGTAGGTGTTAACTAGCACGAAGCAACACATTTTCTTAGGGAAAGCATGACTTTGCACAGCTCTCTCAAAAGACTATTGCTAAAATATTGTCTGAAAACACTGATACTGTTCGAAGAAGGATGTTGGCACATTCGAAAGAAACAAAAAAGCAGCAAATATTGATAAAGTAAGTGGGATGCAGCTGACAGCAGCTTCTTTAGATAGGTAGAATGTCCAGCATGGATGCCCAAATAAAATCAGTGGTAAAGTTCCCAGTTAACTTCAAAGGAGTCAGAATTTCACTCCAAGGCATGAGAAGAGTATCTTTGAATAAGACATAATTCACTGTAGTAAAATAGACAAGAACTAAATTCAGCCAAATGCATTTGAATTTGTTTCTTAAAAGACATTTCATAGATGATATCTTAATTTTCTTTTTATAAGATATTCAGACAATTTTTACATAATACATAGAAACATACAGGAAACCTTCCTCACACCTTCTCATTTGTCTATAATCCCTGTGGAAGATTACCTGTGCTTTAAGGTGCTTCCAG